CATCCGATATGATTGGTGTCGAACACAGAGAACTAGCTCGTGCACTGAGGATGATGCATCAAGGTCTACTGATATGAGTGACTGTAGACTGGCTGTCATTGGAACAGTGGCATTTTCTGGTGCACCAGCTTATGAGATAGAGGAGACTCAACCAGCTAGTGTATCTGTTGGTTTCCCAACCGTAGAAAGCATAACAGATGTTATTGAGATGGAACCAGTTGAAAGAAGAGTGAGGTTTGCCATTGATGAGGACTCTCAGGCTGATAGCCGGACTGAGAATGCCATGCAGATACGTGAAGAGCTTGAGGATCTGTATGCAGCTCAACAAGCTGGGACGGCGTTTATACTCGGGCACTCACACGTTAAAGCAAAGCAAGGTTCATCTATAATGAAGAGATTGGCCATTAACTTTGGGTATAATTTCCTGAGGAAGAATTGCAGGGGGGCAGATGTGGCGCTCAAAGTGCCACCAGTGTCCCTTCTTGAGGTTGGCATGGTTTATGTTGTCTAGACCAGACGGACATGTAATTACCAAATAGTTTTGTCTTTGTTTGCTCACTCCTGCGGCAGAGAGAGTTGAAAGGGATGTGCTAGGAAGATGATTGTGTAGTTCAAAGAGGTCTGTAGAAAAATGTTCCTCTACCACGCCATCAGTCTCACAGACATTTGGCTAGATTACTACCAGAAAACTGTAAAAATTACAACTTTTTCTTGGGTCGATGTCAGACCTGACTTGTCATGATCTTATGCCATTTACAGATTTTACTGTAGTCTGGGAAACCTAATTATTTAGAACAATCAATCTGTTCTACCCTCGTAGACAATATGATCAATAATGTATGTATAACGGTTATACTGAAGTTCGGATACCATCCCCGTGGATTAGAATAGTTTTAAACTATCAATTGTATAAGGGAAAAATAAAACACCAACTCTGTTCAACATGGCATGTGCGCTTGCATCCTAAATGATGTGGATCTGAGGACCTGGATCCAAATCACCCATTTAATAAAATGAGTGATCTGAAAATAAACTTGGTTTTTCACCAGCCATCAGTCTCAGATTCTATAAGATACTTGAGTTCTGGATGAATGACTTTGGAAAAACCCAAATGACTGCTTTGATAAAGGGCCACGTAGTATTATGCTGACCACCAAGCCTAGTGAGTGGCAGGCATACTATCTTTCTCTACGCGTGGCTACTATTTAGTCGTCCAAATGGGCAAAAGATTCAGGTACAAACACCAACAACATACAAGGAGCAAAATTAACTTCATTAATTTTTGCAAAGTAAAGCAGACATGGGAGTTCTAAGAACAATTCCTTTGACCCCTCCACACGGCAAGTTCCCTTCAAATTTTGGAGTTGCAGAGTGCTTATCAAACCGTGGCGGGTTCGTCAGCAAGAGCTCTCAGTTTAGGGTCTTAGCCAAAACAGAGAAGGGTGAGAAAGGTGACAACAAGGAAGAACCCAAGAAAACCAAGCAGTCATTGTTTAGCAGTGTGACAGAAGCACTTGATTTTTCTCAAACCAGGTCTGCAGAGGACGCTCTGCTTATTGAAGATGCTAGAGAGGCCACCAAGTCTGGAGAGAGAATGTCCAGGGAACAGGTATGTTGAAAATTAAAATGCTTTCAAACTAGCTCATTGTTTTAAAAATTTGCTAATTGGGTTTTCTTATTTTCATGCAGTATGGGGCTCTGAGAAGGAAAATTGGAGGAACATACAAGGATTTCTTCAAATCTTATGTTGATGGTATGTAGAAACTTTGAAATTATAGTGTGGTTCAATCCAAATAGCAGCACTCTTTTCTCAATATTTTGGCTCAATGTCGTAGTGATTTTCCTAACTTTCGTAATTGTTTTTCACTTGGAAATCAGTGGATGGGCAATATGTGGAAGAGGGCTGGGTAGACAAAACGTGCAAGGTTTGCAAGAAAGATACAGGGGGTGAGCCAAGGCAAGTGGACAAACTTGGAAGATATGTTCATGTGGCGTGTATGGAGAAATCGAAATCTGGCAACTTTTTTACCAGACTTTTCTCAGGATGAAGACAGAGAACATGGTGCTTGTATTGTATATCAGATATCCCAGAGCCTAACTGGTGATGCGATGTGATGCCAATTTTAGATACAAAAATATATAATTCAATGTTGGGTAGAAGATTTGAGAACTTAGCTTGTTTTTCTCTCTCTTTTCTTTTAACTGTAATTGATGAGCATTGAGCATTGAAGTGATCATAGTATGAACTAAAACATGCAGCAGGGCAAATCCATTCAAATTTCGTTTGACCAAGCATTCAAGTAAAAACAAAAACAGATGGAGCTACAATATGATACGATACGATACGAATAGCACGACGTATATTTATGCATCCACTCTTGCATTTAATGTCAGCTTAGGCCATGCATATAATGTAAACTTGGTAACATGTGTGTGATTTAAAGCAATTTGCAAGCAAACCAAGGCCTCAAATCAAAACTGTGTTTAAAGATTGTAGGAAACTTTCCCCTTTTTGTTTGTTTAAGTTTCCCTTTTCCAAACAATCCTGGGTTTGATTTTCCTCTGCTAATTAGGATTTAGGAGTTATGTCTATTTTCCTTGTGGAAATGGGGTTTGGTTTAACCTATAAAAGAGCCTAGTTTAGAATTGTATTTTGCAAATTATTCATACAATCAATCAAATCACGCTTCGAGTTGCAGACCTTGTCTAAGCTTCATAGCAATCTTTGCAATGGCCCGCAACTTTCAATCGCTCTGTCTCATCTTCTCCATCACGCTTTCGGTGCTACTTGGACCAAATTTTGCAGGTGAGTTTATTGTTACAAACTCTTGTAATGTTTATAACTGTTTTCTCTTATAATTAGCCTCGTTTTGCTTGTGTGTTAAAAGTTTTATCATACATGTGAACTTAATTTTTTGGTATTCGTCGTCAATATGATTAAGATAATGTTGGATTCTGAAACTAGTAAACCATCTAGACTGTTTTATTATTTTTTGAGAATGAAAATCATATAGACCATATTTAAAGTTGGAAAAAAATACCTTAAATTTCATCTCCATACTCTATGTTGAAACTTCGATTTTGAGAGTTGTTCTGCTAACCAAAATACACTTCCTGTAAAAAATTATTTATTTATTTTTTGGGTCATAAAACTGATTGTTTCTTATTGTTTAGATGAACACTGGCCATTGTTTATTTAAAATTTAACGAAGTACTAGTTACACAGAAATAGTAAATTTGCTAACATGCTTGTATTTCCCTAATTAACAGTCGCTTCTTCAATTGGAGTATGCTATGGAATGGTGGCCAACAACTTGCCACCACCAAGAGAAGTAATTGACATGTACACATCGAATCGAATCGGACGAATGAGACTCTATGATCCAAACCTAGAAGCATTCGAAGCCCTTCGCAATACTGGCATCGAAGTCCTAGTTGGAGTTAGGAATGAGGATCTTCAACAACTTGCAAACTCCTACTCTGCTGCTCAGAATTGGGTAGCAACATACATTACACCTTATTCACACCAAATCCAATTTCGATACATAGCTGTTGGCAATGAGGTCATCCCAGGAGACTCGGCCCAGTATGTCCTCCCAGCAATGAAAAACTTGCAAAATGCATTGGGCAATAGAGGCATCAAGGTCAGCACTTCAATTGCAACATCAGTCTTGGGTGTATCTTACCCTCCCTCAGCTGGAGCCTTTTCTCAAGACACCATGGAGTACATGGTACCTATTGCTCGATACCTCAGTAGCATTGGTGCACCCTTATTAGCCAATGTGTACCCTTATTTTGCCTACATTGGGGACACAATTGACATTTCACTGCCTTATGCATTGTTCGTTTCTGGGAAGGTCGTGACAGACGGTCGTCTAAGTTATAATAACCTGTTTGACTCCATGGTGGATGCATTACATGCAGCATTGGAGAAAGCAGGGGCGCCCAAAGTCCAAGTGGTGGTGTCGGAGACAGGCTGGCCCTCCCATGGGAATGGGAAGGTGACAACACCGGCCAATGCACAAATATACAATGCGAACCTAATAAGCCACATCTTATCGTCCCGTGGAACTCCAAGGCGGCCAGGGAACTCCACTGAGACTTACTTGTTTTCCATGTTTAATGAAAACATGAAGCCTGGTGCAGCAGTGGAGCAACACTGGGGTCTCTTTCATCCCAACAAGTGGCCCGTTTATCCAATCAGTTTCCTGTGAACAAAAATTAAAGAACAAAGCATGGTTTCAGTAATTTATGTGGTTATACAGTTAGGATTTGTTTTTAATTTTCATAATTAGGATGTAATTTGTCTCTAAAGAATGCAACATTATTAGATTTCTTGTCACTAGCCAATAGTTTGAGTTGATTTAAGTGTTATCCAATTTTGATTCTCTCCTACTTTGTTTTTTGGTCTGTTTTTCTCTCCTACGTTTGACTTGAGAATCGATGATGCAACTGATTCAGCTAAGCACCAAATGAAGAACTTAAACAATACATTGACAACAGGAACCAGACTTTTACTATTATTTGCTTAATTAACCACACACAGAATAAAGTCCATACAATTCAACCATTAACAAACTAACAGTAAAGAGATAAGCAGATGCAGGAGAAAAACGGGTACCAGAGGGTTTTGTAGCAAACGACCATGACCGCCGAAAATCGGCCAACTTGTAGAAGGTGGCCACCACTATAATCTGTGAATCCGAGTTATTCAACTCGGGCAAGCTCGAAATCGGTACTGGAACGGTGGGCCCAGAGAAGAATCTGGAAAGTCTCGTGCTTTGACGGACGCCATGAAATTCACCTGGAAAGTCTAATTGGGTTAAATCAAAGAACAATTGAAGATGAAAATTTGACGGTTCCTAAATTGAAAGAGGGTGGGGTGAAAGCTACGGTTAGGGTTTATAGTGAAGGTGATGAGGTGTTTGAAAAATCGGACTAGGCGGGTGGACACCGCCACGATTTACCCCTAATCGTTAGGGGCAGGCGCCCACGCCTGGGCGGACTGCTGAAGGAACAAAGAAGAAGAAGAGGAATGTAACCGAAAAAAAAGAAGAAGAAGAGGAACGAAGATCACGCCGTCCACCTGGCAGCCACCTTAACGTTTGATTAATCGAAACATGTCCTCAAACGTTGTAAGGGCATTTTTGACTTTTCGAATTTCATTTGTGCTGTTTAGTTTCCCACATCCAACGGTCCAAAAGTCATCTGCCACATCTAACGATCCAGAAGTCATTACAGTCTTCTCTTTGTAAGTTGTAAGACGATGTAGGCAGTAACCTAAATGGCGGGAACAAACAGCGCTTAGCGGGAAAATCCAATTACCTTACTTAAAAGCGCGGGAAGCCGCTCTCAAACGGCACATAGAGAGAGAGAGAGAGAGAGAGAGGATCATTTGCAATCAGATATGGTGGGATTAGCGTACGACTGCTTGGCGAACCCTCTCGGAGCCGTTCGATCGACGTTCGAGAAGGCCATAGCATCGGGATCGGACCCCGCCTCCTTCGACGGCCGGGACTGGGGCGCTGTTGATCTCTTCCGTCACTTTCTCTTCGAGGACGATGGTCTCACTCAGGTCCAGACCCTAAGCCTACTTTCAATTGTCATTCCCTTTGATTTGGGCTCATTTGTTGTCCTTGAAAACCCCAATTGTGTATTTTTCCCATTAATCTCTTGTGTTTATCTCGACCTAGATATTGTCACATCTGTTGTTAAAAAGTATTTCCCTTCAAATAGTTTTTTGTGTGATATGTGTTCTCGTTTCATCACTGTTTGGGAAAATTTAGGTGCCAATTCTGAATTCTGCAACTATAAGATGGGTTCAGCCCAACACTCTGGTTCGGTTTCGGGGAATGATACAGGACATGTTGGGAAATGAGTTCTATGTTGGTGCTTATAAGGTATCTTATGCCCTCTGATCATTTTCGGTGACCCAAAATGGGCTAATTTCTGTGCCACTAAAACGATGTGTTGTGGCTCTTTTGAAGGATGGCTCGGTTTGGAGAACCAACAAGTTTACGGATGTTCCTCAATTCCCTATGGATACTTCACCGGACATGCAATTATGGGAGCGCCGTATGCTCTACTGCATCCCGGTGAGTTCTCTGTACTCAAACTCTTCCTTCTTTGTAGTACATGACATCTGCTTCTGTTCTTAGCACATAAGCATATGCTTAGTATTGGTTGTTTGTTGCATGTAAGTTTTCTTTTTGTTAGGGTAAATGACACTCCTTGAATTTCAAAGTGCCTACTACCATATTCAGTTTAGACGTGTGGAATTAAAATTGTGGATCGTGCCATGATCTGATTCTTCTTGGGTTGTTATCTTGTTTACGTCTTTAGGTGCCAGGACAGAATTCATGGACTGAATCTCCTTCTGAAGCAGTGATGTATAGAAGTATGAATTCGGCCACCCAACAAAGAGAGAAGCGCCAGAGATTGGATGTTGAAGCTACTGATAACATGGATTGCAATGTAATTCCATTCTCATAATCTGCGTATTAACTGTTCACTTTAACTCGATTTGCAGTAAAAGGATAATCATATTTAAGTAGAAAAGGCAAACTGCATTACAATAGTAGTTTTCCTTATGGTCATCTTTGTTCTGAGCTCCGAAGCAGCTTAAAACAGTATGTTATATGGATTTAGGAAGTTTTTTCTTAGCAAAATAAGTAGGAAGCTCTCTGAATGGGTTTCCTGTTAATTGGATCGTTATAATTTACTTGATAGACTAGGTGCATTCATCATTATTTTGGCTGCAATGACTTGATGATTTTTTGGGCCTGCACATCTGATTCTTTGAACCATGAGCTTTGTAAAAATGTCTTCTTGTTTGTCTATCTGACATACTGCATTCAATGACAGGTCTCAGATGAAGGAGTTGAATGCTCTCCTGCCAAAAAGCTGGTAAGTAGAACAAATTTCAGTTTATTTTGCTCTTTTATTTTATTAAAAAGCATTATTTTATGACTCTGATGGAATATAAATTTGTCTTTACTAAATTTCTGTCTTTACTAAATTTCTTCTCCTTTTTCAGAAAGAGGATGGACATCTTCAGTCTCAGGAGTCAATTACTGAAGGCACCAGCTCTAGTATGATTATGGGGCCTGATGTCAACAGGGATTCGCTTCCTTGTCTTATTAAGGTACATTGGACAATTAGTTGTACCAACAGA